TCTTTATTATATATTCCATAGGCTTCCCTTAAGGCCGCCGCAGGGGCATTCTAGGGTGTAGGAGTAGCCCTTAATTGCCTCCGTAATTGTGATGTGTGTATGCAAGCAGGGGCAATATCCTAAGCCACTAGTAATAGAAGTGTATAAAGGGTGGCTTCTTCACCCAGTATCTTCTTTTTGTCTTTTTTTAGCACCGCAGAAAGAAGGTTATTTGAACGTGGTAACGTTTTCAAACATGGTATAGCCATGTTATAGCTTATAACCATTATATTAAGGTTGTAATTATAAATTAACTAGATATTTTATCCGACAATATTCCGATGATATCCCGGACGTCAGTCTGAGCGAGATTAGAATGGCTCTCCAGCACCTTAAAAACGGCAAGGCCCCAGGCGAGGATGGAATTACAGCGGAGCTTCTGAAAGCGGGTGGAAACCGGTATTTGAAGTCCTTCAGAAGCTCTTTAATTCCGTCCTCAATGGTGGCATTACACCGGAGGCGTGGAGCAGAAGTGCGGTGGTCTTGTTCTTCAAGAAAGGCGACAACGCTTTCTTGAAGAACTACAGACCGATTTCTCTTCTGAGCCGCGTCTACGTGCTATTTTCGAGAGTCATTACGAATCGTTTCGCGCGCAGACTTGACGACTTCCAGCCTCCCGAACAAGCCGGTTTCCGAAAAGGCTTTAGCACCATAGACCACATACATACCCTTCGGCAAATTGTACAGAAGTCCGAGGAGTACAATTTGCCACTATGTCTGGCGTATGTGGACTATGACAAAGCCTTTGATTCCGTCGAAACTTGGGCGGTGCTGCAGTCCCTTCAGCGATGCCAAGTTGACTGTCGGTATATCGAAGTGTTGAAGTGCTTGTATGGTAGGACTACGATGGCTATCCGAGTACAGAACCAGAGTACGAAACCTATCCAATTGCAGAGAGGTGTAAGACAGGGTGACGTCATATCCCCGAAACTCTTTACCGCTGCATTGGAAGATGTTTTTAAGCTTCTGGACTGGAAAGGATACGGTATCAACATCAATGGCGAGTACATCACTCACCTTCGATTTGCCGATGATATAGTCCTTATGGCAGAATCTCTGGAGGACCTAAGCACTATGCTCAATGACCTCAATAGTGTTTCCAAACGGATAGGTCTTAAGATGAACATGGACAAAACAAAGATCATGTTTAATGTCCATGTCACACCTATGCCGGTAGTTGTTGGGAACACTAAGCTCGAAGTTGTTGACGAGTATGTTTACCTGGGACAAATAGTCCGACTAGGTAAGTCCAACTTCGACCGAGAGGTCAATCTACGGATTCAACTCGGTTGGGCAGCGTTCGGGAACTTACGGCACATCTTCTCGTCAGGTATACCTTAAAACTTGAAAACGAGACTGTACACCCAGTGCGTGTTGCCAGTGATGACATACGGAAGTGAGACGTGGTCCTTCACTGCTGGCCGGATGAGGAAGCTCAAGGTCGCTCAGCGAGCTATGGAGAGGGCTATGTTCGGAGTTTCTCTGCGTGATAAACTCAGAAATGAGGATATCCGCAGTAGAACCAGAGTGACCGACATAGCCCAACGGATTAAGTAAGCTGAAGTGGCAATGGGCCGGCCATATAGCTCGAAGAACCGACAACCAATGGGGAAGAAAGGTTCTCGAGTGGCAGCCTCGTACCGGCAGGCGAAGTGTAGGGCGTCCCCCCACTAGATGGAGTAACGACCTGGTAAGATATGCAGGAAGTCGATGGATGCAGGTGGCTCAGGACCGTGCTTTGTGGCATTCTTTGGGGGAGGCCTATGTTCAGCAGTGGACTTGTGAAGGGCTGTAATGATGAATGAATGATGAATGATGTTTTATCGATAAATGTGGGTGTATATGGGCCACAGTATCCACTTATCATCAGGTGGACTATGCTCATTTGTCACCCTTATTCTATATAAAAAAAGCCAAGGCTATATATATATATATATATATATATATATATATATATATATATATATATCGATTAATTGATATTTCGATAAAACTTGCACCATTGTCAACGCGTGTTTCCAGCAAGACGTACACTCTCATACTGAACGGGAGCATGTGTGTAGAGACTAGAGACAGTTCTGATATTGCCCCGATCGCCGTGCACCCTAATGGCGATGTGTTTAACTAAAATAACTTCGTTTATAGGTCATTGAAAAGTTGTCAGCCGTTTTTATGCCTTAGGGGAAGCTATATTTGCATTATGTCATAATTCTAAAGGGTAAATGTGTAATCTGGACCGAAGCGATCCTATAAATAGGTTATCTATAAACTCCTATCCCCGAGCCATATCCGTCATACACAACGGTAAGTATTTTTATAGGGTCAGAACTTTGATCATTACTCACTTTTGCAACGTATAACAAAAAAATTACCTAACCCGTCTTCTTCGCTAGAAAATAATTTTAGGTGACAATTTAAAAATAAACTTAGTCAACAACAGTTAATTACGTTTCAGTCATTGATCTGTATGCAAGACTCATGTAAACGTCATCCTCAGTAGCCCGTAAACTTACCCGTAAATAATTCGATTTGGACATTGACCTTTTCTATAGCGAGAGTTTCGTAAACGCTATAATTGGTGGGCGAATAATTAATATTTATTTAGCCGCTTTAGAGGAACTGAATTATTAAAATCTTCTAAAGACCTATTAATTTTAACTACTCGAAATTTGAGAACGAAAAATCGATTTATCACTTATAATTAAACCTCGTCTGTCGTCTGCGTTGCTCTGAAAAGAATGATGGAAATATTTCTTGTTTTAAAATGAAAAGAATGACAGCGTCGTTAAATTTATAACGCAATAAAGTTTAAGTGCAACTCATTAATGTAGAGCACGTCAAGTAGTACCATTAGTTATCAATTACTGCTTATTTGATTTATAGCTGTGCTTTCTATTAGAAGCTGCCGTTTTAAACCGCCCGAAATACGCCCTTAAAATTTCACATCTCAACATAAAACTACTTTGCTTGTATTTTCCAACTGTACTCCTCTGTGTGGTAGAGCTACTTTTCTATCTGAGATAACTCTTTGAAGGGTTGGGTATTGCATGCTGTGAATCATTTCATCCTAGTCCTCAGGAATGACGAAGTATTTATAACGTTTTTTGTTTGAGTTATAAATGTTGGTCTCCGTAAGCTGCAGTAGATTTTCACAATGATATGCTTCGTAGCCAGTCTGCGTATCTTAGGTTTGGTATTTGGGTACAGGAAGATTATACCGACAGCTTTCGAAGATCGTTAGGTCTTTCTGGCATTTCCCTTAAACTTAAGACTTTCCCATATACTAACAACACTAGCTGGACAAAATTTTTTGAGGGAAGTCACCTCTTCAACACAGCGAGTTAGTGACACAGAGATATAGGTGATACTTGTGCGGCCAACATACTGCTGGTCTTTTAGCTATTCGCAATGAATGTGAATACCATTTGTTTTTAGTCTAATAACTTGAAACTAAAAAATAAAATGAGAGCCGTGGTAGCTCAGGGGCTAAGCGCTCGCTATAAATTTCACAGTAGACGAGCAACCCGGGTTCAATCCCCGCCGGCACCAATGAAATTGTTAATTACAATTTTAACTGCTGATTTATCACGTACTTGGCGGTAAAGGAAAACATCGTGAGTAAACCTGCATGTCTGAAAAATAAGAAAAAAAATATATTTAGAAAACATTTGATGTTCGCCAACATGCATTAGGGCAGCGCAGCGGACACTTTCTTAGTCTAAAACCCTCTCAGAAATATGAGGTGGCCTGTGCCCAGCAGTGGGACGTATATAGGCTGTAACTTTAACTTTTAAAAAATGAAATGTTGTTGAGAATTGATCAATTGACAGCTGACCTGAACTAACCCAACCTTGGTCCTATCCTACTTCACACTTTACTTTTCTTTTTTTTATAGAGTCAACTGTGACTCTATAAAAAAAAGAATAATGCAATAAGGCAATAATGTATTCTCATATTTTGTGTAATTAAATTGGCAAGCGACAAGCCTACCTTTTGATAACTTCATGTAACAGTGACAAAGCGAAATTGAATGGCGAAAGGCAAACGTGGTCGAAATTGCAATCCTGAAAGTGTAAAGTACTGGTTTGTCAAGAGTTTTGTTCAACAAAATAAGTATTGTCAAAACGTTGAAAAGGTATGTTCATTTTGTATCAATTTAAGCTGTATTTTTTCACTCAAAACTTTGTTCAATAAACGAACATTTGTCAACTTTGGACTTCATCATTTGTCAACAAAAGAACCCAAACCCACTGAATAAACAACAGGTTATGGGCCCAGGACAGCAGTGAAAGGATTTTTTTTGGAAGTCAGGTCAGGAAAGCGACGGAAAGTCGAGAAAAGTAGTACAGAGTATCAGAACCGGCGCGGCCGACATAACCTACAAATCAGCAACACCGGAGCAGCCATTACACAGCAAGGTAACGTTGAGCAACGTACACGCAAGTCGCTTTAAGTCATAAAATCGCCACAAAAGTTTATAAATTCATTTTGTTTATTTAAAAATTGTCAGAAGTCAGTTAAATTGTAAAATTTAAAGCAAAATGGATACTGTAAAGTCTCAATTGGAAATGTTAAGTGAAGATAGTCAGGGAAATGTCAATTTCATTTCATGGCGATTTAAATTAAACCTAGCACTTAAGAATAAGGACTTGTACGAAATTGTGACAGGTGCAAAGCCCAGACCAGCTGGTGCTGCGTCAAAAGCAAACATTTCAGCTTGGATAAAGAAAGATGTCGAAGCTCAAACGTTGATAGGTTTAAATGTAAACAGTAAGATTGCGAACAAAATTGCAATAACTACTTTATATGGTACACAGACTGATGTATATTTAGAAGCTTCCCGAATCAAATTCTTTACCTTTGAGTATGATGTAAACAAGTCAGCGGTATAGAATTGTATGGAGATTTTGGACTTGGCTGAAGTGTCAACCGAGAAAGATCCAATGAGGAAAAGTTGGATCATGACGAGAGTATTGAGTGTGCTACCGCCAAAATTGGCGCATTTCAGAACATCCTGGAACAACGTGATCGGACCAACAAAGAACATTGAAACTCATATCGAATGTCTGAGACTTGAGGACGAGCAACTCAAGGAAACGACGACAAATGCAGAGGGCAGCACCAGCAACGCTCTCATGGCAAGACGTGAGAAACAGGGACAGTCGTCAAACAGCAAGCAGGACAAGTCAGCGCTAGCATGTTACAAATGTGGAAAGAAAGGTCACGTGATCAAGGAGTGCAGAGGAAAACCGTGTCAGAAATACATTGAGTATTGCAAGAAGAAATACTCGTGTAACATTTGCAAGAAGAAAGGACACTTTGCAAAGGATTGTGAATCCCTAGAAGAAGCAAATAAATCAGGAAATGGGAAACAAAAAAGGGTGGCATTTTGACCACGACACTCTCGACAGTGGACAAAGACATCTCCAAGGATAGGGCAACCTCATGGTATCAAGACAGTGGAGCCAATTTCTTTCTTCAATTCACTATGTCAGTCTATCAACTTTATTGTACATTTAACTAACTTCAAACTCAACTAAATCCCCGTTAATTATAATCAAAAACGTAACACACGGTACGACTAATGAACGGTGGGTCAAAGTTCACTTCCGTTTCACTCAGCAACTAATTATTTCTAGAAACGAACGCGACCTTCTCAAGCACTTAACGCGACGGTACAATTAAACATTAACTTCCAAACAATTAATCGACCCGGCGTCTAATTTTCTAGACTCCACAACTTCTCGTCGTTGCATAAATTTGCTACCAAAGCCGACACAATCAGAGGTTATTATGTACGTGACCACGCGGTCTGAGTAGATTCACTGCAATAGTATACAATTGACGCAATTACTTTCAAACGAAATTACTTTAATCAGTCAAATACAATACAAGCCTCTTGTCACGAACTTACAACTTAGACAAACTAATACGAGGCGGTCTTCACGAAACCACAAATTAAGTAGCGAAGTAACGCGCACAAATACTAAAAATCTAGACCATAAAACCTAAACTGGTCGCACGAATACGCTGCCGCGGTCACCACAAAATACGTTAACGTTACGACGGCGCCGCTGCACTCAAGCTACTGCAACGCACTCGCGTTCTGCGCCCACGCCCTCTGCCGAGCGACCCACACGGGAGTGGGGCAACGGTGACCTTTACAAAGTCAGCGGGCGGACACGAGTGGAATGCAAATTTCAAATGTTAATTGTTTGGCCTAAACACTCAGTAAGTCAGATGTTGGGACATGTACAGAAGGCAAACGGAAAAGAGTCGACATTTTATAGTCTAGATGGGTCTGAAAGACACTGGAGAGAGGACTTGAGGACGACTTCACCCACTACCGAAGCTGTTACTTCATGAAGACGAAAAGTGAGGCCCCTGAGAAGATTGCAAGCTACCTGAGACTGGTATAAAATCAACTAGGGAGGAGAGTGAAGAGTCTGAGATCTGATAATGGCACCGAACTGAAGAACACAAAAACCAAAGAGATGATGGACAAGTTGGGAATTTTTCACACATTTACGAATGTAGACACGCCAGAGCAAAACGGAAGGATTGAGAGCGAAATGAGAACGATTGTCGAGGCAGCCAGAGCAGCAATACATGCAGACGAACTGGACGAGAGACTGTGGGCAGAAGCAATGAACCATGCGATCTTCACGATCAATCAGACAGGAACCAGCAACGTACCAGTGAAAAGTCGGGCAAAACTGTGGTTTGGAAGGAAAATGAAGATTGAGAAACTGCGACCATTTGGATATGAATTTTATGTGCTGACACATGCACAGAATAGAGTCAAGATTGATAGCAAATGAGAAAAGGGAATTCTGGTTGGCTATGACATTGATTCACCATGCTACAGGATTTATATGAAAGAAAAGAGAGAAGTTGTTAGCTCAGACAATGTAATCTTCGACAAGGATAAGATACGACTGAGGCAAGGCACTGAAATTGAGACACCTACACCAGAGGGCATACCTGAGAAGCAAGAAGAAAGCAGCAGTGAGTCAGAGGAAGAAGAAGAGAACTACAGGACTGGAGAAAGTGCTGAGGAGACAAGTGACAACGAAAGTGGGACACGACAGCAAGCCAAAGAGTCAGGAAGGAGAATCTTGCGAGATCGTCGAATTTTGCAACCACTACCAAGACTGAGAAATTGCATAATTGATTTTAGACGAGGAGGAAAGAGCGCAAAAGTAGCCATGATTGGTGAAACTCAAGATATCCCGGTGAGTGAGGCACACAAAGATGAAAAGTGGAAACAAGCGATGCAGGAGGAGTATGACTCGCTAATGGAAATGAAAACTTGGACGCTGGTGGACTGTCCAGAAGGAGTGAAGCCAATCACTTGTCGTTGGGTACTTCGAGAAAAGGCAGATGGCAGACTCAAGGCCAGACTCGTGGCAAGGGAATTTGAACAGAAGGGAGGAGTGGACTACGCCGAAACCTTTAGCCCAGTAGCTCGCCATACATTTTTTTATAGGATAAGGGTGACAAACGAGCACACAGTCCACCTGATGGTAAGTGGTTGCTGCGGCCCATAGACATCTACATCTATCCTCGTTTGCGAATCAAAATACAGATGCGTTGTCACCCGTGAGGACTAAGATGGAATGCCTCATTTCCAGTAAAAAGGGCCTCCGGCCACCTGCACTCACCAAGCGAAACACAGAGGTAAACATCTACTTCACGCTGGTATTCTGTGAGGTCGTGGTACCACCCCGGTTCGAGCCGGCCCATCCGTGCGACAGCAAAAGCTGCCGCGTGACTCTACCACTGTTAAAAAAATATCGATCGATACATCGATTCGACTACTTTTAAGTCACGCAGCGTCAGAGAAAATGAAGTTGGTATCGTTCGATGTAAAAACAGCATTCTTGTATGGAATTCTGGAGCAGGTCATCTATATGAAGCAACCTGAAGGATTCGACGACGGATCAGGGAAAGTTTGCAAGTTGGACAAGAGTCTTTACGGGCTCAAACAAGCTCCATGGATGTGGAACAAGAGGGTTACCACACACTTTGAAAAGAAGATAGGCCTGATCAACACAGATGACCACCCGTGTATATACTATAACAAGGACAAAAGCATTATGCTCTCACTGTTTGTGGATGATGGATTGATAGCTGCGAAAAACGAAGATGAAATATACAGACTCTTGGGCGAGATAAACAAGGAATTTCAGATCACATTCAGCAAGAAGGCACAGGACAAGCTGACGTATTTGGGCATGGAAATCAAGATCGACCAGGATGGTATCTTCGTGAATCAGCCTCGGTACATGGAGAAGATCTTGAGAAAGATGAAACTCGAGCAGTGCAACCCAGCATCCACACCCATCGAGCAAGGAATGGTCAACAAGAAGGCAGACTTCAAGAATAATGAGCTACTTCCGGCGAACAACAACTATCGCGAGGCGATAGGGAGCTTATTGTACTTAGCTCCAATCACCCGGCCAGACATCAGCTTCACCTTGAACTATCTCAGTCGATTTTGCAACAAGCCCATGAAAAGCCATCAGGCGATGGTGAAACGTGTGTTCCAGTACTTGAGAGGCACAGCGACAGCAGCAAGAATCAAGACAGCAGGAATCCACTTCGGAGAAGACAAAGAACTCGTGGCCTACACTGATTCAGATTCAGATTCTGAGACAGGACAGTCGACGAATGGAGTGTTAGTGATGAGAGGAGGACCAGTAGTCTGGTACTCACAAAAGCAGCGTCTGGTAGCGACTTCAACTGCAGAAGCCGAGTACAGAGCTGCGGTGTCAGTGATTGACGATGTATGCTGGATCAAACGAATCGAAAACGAACGATCAAAGGAACTTGGTATCCTGGAAAGTAATCAGCCGATCACCATGAAGGTCGACAACATGTCAGCCATACACATGTTACAGAATGCACACGAAGGAAAGACGACCAGAGGAAAGAAACACATTGAGATACCACAAAAGCACATCCAGGAACACGTCGGCAACACTGTGACACTGCAACACGTTGAGAGCAGCAAGCAGATTGCAGACATTCTCACCAAGCCACTCAACAGAAGAGTCATTGAGACGCTCCGCTGTAAATTGATCAAGGTGGAGTGTTGAGAATTGATCAATTGACAGCTGACCTGACCTAACCCAACCTTGGTCCTATCCTACGTCACACTTTACTTCTCTTTTTTTTATAGAATAAACAACAAATGTTAATACTAAATTACCAGTGCCAAGCATTTCTACCTTCCTTCAATTTGATTTATAGTTTGATCAGGCGTAATCAAGTTCTGTACTCGAACGTACCTGTCTTACTGTATAAACACTTTACACCGCTGTCAAAACTTAAATATGTATATGTATGGTGTAAATACTTATCTAACTGTGGTGTAAAACAAACATTTCTGGAAACTGGCTTCTCCTGGGTTAATTAATTTGTCAATTAGATGTAGCTCGTGAGGAAAATCTTTCTGCAGTAATTCTTCAATATTCAAATTATTGCCATATCAAAAAACAAGACCAATTTTTTCCTATGTCAAGACGTAATAATATATCTGAAGAAGCACAAAATTCTGTGAATTTCTATAGAATAAATTATAAGTATGAATTGGTAAATGAGTAGGTATATTTGACAGTATTTTCTTAAAGTTTCCCTATTTCTATTAATTCTTAGATTCCTCTGTTATTTTTTCTACTTTTACCAAACTTAAGAGATGTTTTATATTATAAGATGAGCTAGGAGGCTAAGCGCTTGTTTTTATTTGCGCGAAATACTTAACCCGGTTTTTATGCTATTATGCACATATAACGACGTTTCCATTGACCAGTCTATAAGATTTAGATGCTACGTGAATAAGCATTTGTTAAAATGTTTATCTGTCTGTCCTTCTGTTTGTCCGGGTAGTTGTCTGCACACTATTTTATATTACTTAAACAAATTAGGGAATTTAGAGTTGTCCCCTCACTTTTTGTCTTTATTTGCTACCTTCAATTTTAACACTCCTTAGCTTTCTGCCTCACTCCTAACACGGTCTTCCTGACAAGTCGCACGTCCTCATGTGAGGCCTTAAAGACATCTGCAAGCAGAAAAGGCATCACTGAAGAAAATTTCTCGTCTCAGCCTTTCCTGATGTGACAACGAATTATCTATACATGCACATAAATAAAATTGAAGTGTCTGTCTGTAATATCGAAATAACTGTTTTTTTGAACTGAAGAGGTTCATCGTTTCATTATTACTGCCAATCACAAATCCACTGCTGAACATAGGCCTCCTCCAAGGAATACCACAAAGCACGGTCCCGAGCCACCTGCGTCCATTGACTTCCTGCATATCTTACCAGGTCGTCACTCCATCTAGTGGGGGGACGCCCTACACTTCGTCCGCCGGTACGAGGCCGCCAACC